ATCTGTTGGTCAACATACCTAGAAAGTGTCTCACACAAACCACTCCTCCCCCGAACTGCAAGGTCTATTAACTTGCAGGAAACATAATTCGACGTAATGAGAAAGTCCGATTCTAAATGATAGCGATTAACGTGTGCAATATGACCTTATACGCGTTTTCTCAATAGTTCCTTAAAACAATATGTCTTCTGAGATGAAAATATACTGACTGTGTCGTCGAGGAAATTTAAGTGTACGTGCAGGTTAGATTTCTGTTTTGTTCACAAGTGTAAACGTTGGGATAATTTATACTTGTGTTCTGCTTTATATATTATATATTCATGTATATATAGTAGGATGTATCTATATAAAGTTTGATTGGATGTTATCAGGATACTTACTTGAAAGGTTGATAGTTACCAAGCTGCTTCCATAGGTACATTTAAGATAGTTATAAACATCGTGGTCCCAGATTTTAAGCCGACATCCTTGAGCCCAAACTTTGTACCTGTATGTACAATCGTATTTCCCTGTGTGAAGTAAGAGGTACAATAATACACACATATATTTGTGCAGTTTCAATTATTGAAACTATGAACCTTTCAAGTAAGTAAATATAAAGTTTTGTTGGATGTTATCAGGATACTTACTTGAAAGGTTGATAGTTACCAAGCTGCTTTCATAGGCATAGTAAAGATAGTTATAAACTTTAATAAAGTGTGCATCATCGGAAACACCGAAGATTCTCATTTTGAATGATAAAACACAGATGTGCACGATTTACCTCAGAGAAACTATCGTAACCCAAATCCACTGTTTGTTGCTTTTATGGATTTTCTTACAGTGAAACGTAAGAATACCAATGCACCAAATTTCAATTTAGAACAATATCAAAGCCAAATATCTATCATTTCCCAAATGTAAGTTTGAACAAAAAACTTTTAAAAAGTAGATTGACTTATATCGGGTTGCTAACGTTTCAAATGTGTACATTTTTCCACATAAAAAGGAAATAAACAAAGGAACACTGGGGTATACCTGTGCAAACATATTTATCTACTTATAGACTGGGATATTTTATCTACAGTGAAACGAATAGATTCACTTGTTATGTGTGAAAGCACTTCTCACACGCAGATTTTTTCATTCAATTTACAATGAAATACACACAATACGGTAATTCCACCATGCAGTGAGTGTCATTTATGGAAGTCGATTTTCCATGTTGGCACAAATTGTCAACAGCAAACGTCTTTATACACCTATGGTAAATGTAGCTAGATTCTGAATCATTATTCCTGCTGAAGAACGAAAGTCTAATAAATCTTACAGGGTTGTAAAAGAATATAAAATCACTACAGCACAAGCATGGTGCAGGCCAGGTGTCTAAAAGGTGCTATGGTCTACTATGAGTCCGAAATCCCCTTTGCTTCTGCTGGTCATTATTTTATTTGATCATTCATAGCCACCTTGATTTGTAAACACCTTGCAACAGGTGTTATGGGAAATCGTGTTCCTCCCTAATCCAGATTTTTTTAAAAAAAACAGATCTGGTGGGTAACTTTTTATTAGTACTGGGAAGTTTTTATTACCCTGCATTTCTGGCTAATAAAACTATTCCATAAACACACTCCACTTTAGTCCTGTGTCACCACCTTCACATTAAAAACGACTGTCGATTGATTTAATTCACAATATCGTGAACGCATTTAATGCGTCCAATTCAACATTTCCTTCGTCTTTGTGGGGAAACCGTCGGTACTTATTGAACGACATCGGCCTTATTTTGGTTGCATCTGAATACAATTACATGTAATTAAACCAATTGAAAATTTCTGGACAGGTGAAATAATGTCACACTTTGGGTCACACACAGAGTGTTTCCCATAAATGAGAAGTCCAGGCACTATTTCAAACTGTTCTGTCAAAACGTTTTTCCACACAAGACAATAATAACACACAACACTTTTTAATTATTCATCGCATTTGATAACGATACGCTAGTCAATTACATGTTAATTTTATAAATCCTTTTAAAATCAACCAACCAGCTACAGTATCTGCTCCAGAAAGGAGCCTGGCGGTGATCAGGCAAATGCAATAAAAATGTAAGCAACTTATGGAAAAGGCTGAAAAATATACGACAGAACTTCAAAAAGTATTTTTTTTGTAAGCAATGTGGCCATTGCAGGCCTATAAAATATCGCCATTTAAAATTGATAGATAACTTATCATGTACGTGTGCATGAGACAGAATAGCAGCATCAACGTCGCACACAATTATTAGCTATCTGTTTCAGTCGATAACATGGTGTTTTGCGAGGCTGGATCCTCTTCTCGCCTTGCGATAAACTAAAATCGTCTGAGCAGCTGATTCTGAGTGAGCACGTAGCTGAAACGGATCCCACAAAAACCGCAAAAAAAACTAGAATTTCGCAAATACTGTTATACTGTCTGCCTTATATTAAAAGGAAAAGACAGGTCAGGAAACGCACGTGAAAATACGTGCACTTGTGTGTATTTTATGCAATGGGCTCGATGGGTAGGTTTGAAACATAAACATATCCTGGTTTAGGTAAGAGAATTTAGTTTAATGCTATATAACCCACGATGACGATGGAAATTATTTTGCTGAAACCTTCAAAGGAGTTCACCTTTCGGAGTGAGATCTGTCTAAACTGGTTGAAATCTCGGTCTTCTCATTGAAGACAATAGGTCTAATGACATCTTTGTCACAGAGCTCCACCAAAAATGGTAATGAAGATTAGCCAAAGTCGACGCCTAGACCTGGTCACACACATTACCTGACCGAGAGTAATCCTCACACACTTTGTCACCTTGATGAAAAGAACGCGCATAAATAAACCTTCTGTCTCGATTCATAATTCAGATTCAATTAGCTATTTATTATGGTAAAAACCTATATGTAAAATCTACAGAGGCTGCTAGGTAGACGGCGCTAGGTCGAAATAGTTCCCTTTTAAGTTATTGTTTATGCATTGGCTTTAGTAGCTGGATGAAAAAAAACACGATTTCCACCTCAATGGGAGCAAACCAACAGTTTGTTATTTAAAGCCTCCGAGTATCAAAGAGAGGTGGATTCTGAAAGACGTTCCCCTTAGCAGACAATGTTTTCACAGGGATGTTGTAGAAGATATACCCACCCTGAGAGCTTGATCAATAATGCATGTACCATCGGATTTTGCCCGTTTAAACTATCCTCCAAATACATCGCATAAAATGAGACACAGCTGTGTTTTACATAAGCATTACGGTGCCCGTATGATTTTTTCCATGAGAATTACTTAAATAAAGGGGGGGAGGCATCATTAGTGAACTGAATTAAATCGCGACCTCTTCAAAATCCAGCTAGCCAGATGTATTTGTCAAACTAGTTAAAGTGTTAGCCGCGAAAAACATTAAGATTACGCTTAATACAGGTGGGGTATGGAATTAAGAGTTACCTGCGAAAACTAAGAGTTATCGTTACAGTAATGCCAGTTTGAGTGGATTTCAACCGTGGTAGATCCTATTATTCAGAAGTGAAACACTGGGTAGTACTTCACAGTAATTCCTCTCTTTCTGTCTCAATAACTATTATCCTCTTGGGAACGGATCCTAAATAAAAATGAAACACGATAAAACTATAATTGTTTGAACAGAGAATAAACCCAAAGACACCCAAAGCACCATTATATTTTTGAATGCAGATGTGTAGTTGCAGGTCTGGGAGACTGTAACTATTCTGAATTCCTGTTCAATAAAATAAATAGCTACATGTCTTTTTAGTTACTGTCCACCTCCAATATACTCATTTTGACGGCGGATGCCAACCCGGCAGTGGTAGCTCTGTACCTGTGACCATTGAAACAGTAATGCGGTTGAATGAGTGTTTGGCTGGCGTTCATATGCTAATTGGGCTGTTATTAGCGAGTTACTAAAGAGCTGAGAGGGGAACTCGATCGACCATTAGAGGGAGATCTGAGAGCACAGTCGGAGCTCTAAACCAACACACACTCTCTGTGCAGGACTGTCCACTCTCAGAGACATCTAGTCAACCACTTTTACACCAATCCATGAGAATGCTGTGGAAATTAGCGGACAATATCAAATATGAGGAGTGTGAGGTAAGCAATTTTATACTGGCTTTAAAAATAAATGCAATGCAGTTTTCAAGGCATCGCCGATAGAAAGGACAATGCTTCCTTCCTTCCTTTCCCTTTATTCCGAATCTTCGAAAGTTTATTAAATGTAAAGCTGATCGCAATTTTCATACATGTGTATTCTGTACAAACACGGTTACGTGGAAATTGTGAAAATCTGAAGCTCTCGGTCCAATGGTTTGACATAGAACAAAACCGATTAGAGTACACCTAATCTATTGTCTGCCTGCGGATCAGCCTTGTAAACAGTCAAGAAATCAAAACGTTTCCACCAAATCTACCAAAAAATATCACGATTGGGCTCCAGTCAGGAGATCTGACTGCAGTCAAACTTACATTTATTGTGTACGTTTATTAAAAATCTAAAATGAATCGTACGCTGGCGAACTTCCTGAATTATGCCAGAATAAGATAAAACACAAATTTCTGCGAATTAAGAATATATATATAAATAAAACTTTTGCTTGTGTTGGTGCGATATGGTAAAGCATTGTTGCGAATCAATCGGCGAACTTTGATTGCACAACTGAACGAAATGCATTTGTCATACAATCGTTCTAATTGCTATAAACGAAAACTTCTCTCTGTTTTCCATTTGTAATAAACTCCCCCCCCGCCCCCTCCGTTTCCCACCATCGCCCAGTGTAGATATTGAAATCTGCACTAAGATTGTTGTTCCCGTTGCGATTTAAGGATTCTGTACGTGTGTTTGTGTGGAAATGGCAGCAGGCATTAAATGGTTATGTCTAAAGGGCTGTGAGTGTGCCCGGATTGAGAAAGTTGATCTGCAGAGTTTGCTAGGTAATATTTGGGGAGTTGTTTGGGAGTTGTACAGCCAGTCAAACGGGTTTCCACTGCAGGCTAGAAGACACCTCACGCTACGGGCTAAAGGAAACAGCCCCTTAGTTTCACTTTTCCTTGGAACGCAGCTTTCGAGAGAGAGAGAGAGAAAGATTTAAGGAACGGCACGATCTTCCGGAGAAGAAAGTTGAGGATTTTAGGCTGAAATCCGTTTATTTGGAACTGGCTTGAAGCTGAGTTTAGACAAAGTGCTGTTTTTAGGAACTCAGTAGGGAGCAGCTTGCGTAAAAGTGCGTGGAAACGAATGAGGGCTTTGGAGACTCCATAGTCTCTCTGTCGCTCCCTGTCTCTTAACTTTTAACCCATTGCACGATGGATCAGGCTGCTAGTGACCCAGGATCAGGGCAGCGTACATCTCCGGGAAAAGATCTGAAAAGGAAGAGAACAGAAAGCGCAGGTAGTCTGTCTCCAGCCAGGAAACGAGTGGCCGCCGAAATGCCTATGGCATTTTCAGGATTTTCACACGATAACGAGGTGCAAATTCCTTAATGTGTCACTCTTTCTTTTCGTCCATTCCCCTCTTTCTCTGCCTGACTGTCTCTCTTCATCCCCTCGTTCATTCCCCCTCTCTCTCTCTCTCTCTATCGCATGCCCTCGATCACTTTAAACTGTTCTCCCCTTCTCTGTGATTCGTCAGCTCCAGCAGAGTCCCCTCTTTTCCCCTCTCTCTCTCTCTCTGATTAGATACACTGATTCCTTATTCAATGGACGTCATTTATAACAGAGTCTGCCTTTAGTTGCTTCCTCGCTTCACGCTCGATTTCCGACCATTCTTCCCTTATTAAGTATTCGTGTAATATTAATAGTCATGAATATCTGCTATTATGTGCTGGGGTAAAGCTGCATCTCGCCATTAGAGGAGGAGGAGAAAGAAAGAAAGAAAGAGGGAGAAAAAAAAGTTTGAAAAATCTATCGACCTGACGCCCAGAAACTAGACCCATTCTGATTTTTTTATGCCCAATGAAGATTTTTTTTCGAGTTCTGATGGATTCTCGTGCCTTGCTCCTGCATGTGATTCCCCGGCGTTGTGATCTGTTGTAGTTGTATAGTACTGGACTGTTTTTTTCCAATTTTCCACTCTAGGTCTCTCTCTTTTTTCCCCCTGACGAGCTCAGATCAGACTGTCCGCAGATGTTAGTGCACAGTTTCTCGGCGATGGTGAGTTACAGTGAGATGGCACTAGATTTAAAACAACAACTGGTAGCACTTTCCATTTTGAAACCTTACCTTACCTCCTGTGAGAATAATATTTCGCTGAAATCTCCCCCCTCCTCCCCCCGTGATGCTTTAGATTTTGTTTTCTAATGAACGATGTTCCCATTAAACTTATGATTGCATCATAGCAGCACAAACAACAATAAAAATGCAATGGCACTGATGATATTTTTAATGTAACTTTAATGTCTGGTTTTTATTGCAGGATCGTCACGATGGGACCAGTAATGGAACTCCCCGGTTGCCCCAGTTAGGGACAGTCAGCCAGACTCCATATCCGACCGCCCCACCGTTATCTCACACCCCTAACACGGACTTCCAGCCTCCCTACTTCCCTCCTCCGTACCAGCCCATCTACCCGCAGTCGCAGGACCCCTATTCCCATGTGAACGACCCCTACTCGCTGAACTCGCTGCACCCGCAGCCGCAACCGCAGCACCCGAGCTGGCCACAGAGACAGAGTCAGGAGTCGGGGATCCTGCACCAGCACCGTGGGCTGCCGCAGCTCACTGGCCTGGACCCGCGCAGGGACTACCGGCGGCCCGAGATCCTCCTCCACGGCACTCACGGACTCGACTCTGGGCTCGGGGAAGGATTGCCCCTCCACAACATCGGACACTCCATCGAGGATGTACAGGTAGCTCCAGCTATTACTTTGCACTTTCTGCGTCTTGCCCTGTGAAACGAAACGAGGTGCTATGTTATTGGCTTTGAAAAATGGTGCTTCATTGCTGAAGACTTCGAGCTTTTAAAATCTTTTAAAGACTAAAATCTGCGATTGCGAACAAAGGCGAGAAATCTGTAATTATGAATAGAAGTGGGATCCACTTATTGATAATAAGGCAGGTCATAACATTGCTTGGAATTTTTAAGTCAATAAGCAAAGCCCGTCACTAATATTTATTTATTATTATATGCGGATACGTTAATTTTGGCTCGATTAGAAATATGTATTTTGATGTGCTTTAGTAAATCAGCTTAAACACTTCTGTTTTGATTGCACGCGACGAAATCACTTAAGATACAAGTAACTAGTTGGCTTGCTTTGTTTCATATTTCAGTTTAGAGAAAGAAGTTTATTTCAAATCGTTCCTCAAAGGGAAATGGACAAAATTATTCCAGTTTCCTTTAGATTTGTTCAGTGTATTTTGGGTGTTTTATTGCGTGGTAATTAGAGCTAGTTTCAAAGCTGTTATTCTTGCAGTGTTAGGGTTCTGAGATCCAATGTTATTATTGTATTGTAAAAATGCTCCAAAGGCATGTGTTTGTAACGCGTTAAATTATCGATATACTATTGAAGAAGTGATTTGGGAAAACGTTCCCGCATTTTTAAGTTAAACTGTAATATGGATGTTTTGCTTCAACAAATAACAGAGGCCTAAAATTATTATCATATGTATCTTTTTCGAAGCAAAAGATAAGGATATCTACCACACAGTGAAAAACAGCCGTCCTATGACTAGCTGAATTGGTAGATTTGCCTTCTTAAGCACTACTTTCAATTTCGTTAAAAAAATGCCGATTTTACTGCTCTCGTAAAATATTCATAAGCAAGGAACCGTCATGCATTCATTTCCAAACAAATACTCATTATGAATGCTCTGAGCGATTGAAAGCTGTTCAACATTCCACTCAATACCTGCGGCTATACTTTACTTAAATGTGACTGGCTCTTTAACAAAAAAATCTGCTGTAAACAAGCTTACAAATACAGCCTTAACTGTATGATATGCGTCTCTTGCTACTCCGGGAGAATATTTAATAACAAAAGCATAGTCTGCTGACATAAAGGGAAGAAGAAGAAAAAAATCCACTGAACGATTCAACCTATTTTGATGCGACTGCGTTTGTGTGATACCAGAATTAAAATAGTGTCTACCTTCTATGAATTATTGTTCAGTGTTTGAGGAAATTGTGCTGTGTTTCGGTAATATGGTGAGCCTGCTGATCTGGCATTGGGAGGCAGTTTTTGTGAAGTCTGTTTCAATACTCTGATGTCAATTATTCAGATTGTCAAACTGGTGCCAGTTTTATACATCTTTGTATGTTCACTGGGGAAACAGAGGGTTAGCGACTTCAGCCTCCAATATGATATGACATCTCTTCTTTGGATAGTGCTTGAAGTGTATGGTTCCCACATTGCAAATATTGTGTACAAATTGCACTTAGGAAAAAACAATATCAAAAAGTTCTGCACGTTCCTCATAGTTTAAAATGATGGGGGTGATGCGTACAGAATACCAGCGTTGATCTTAACTGATTCAAAGCTAATGACTATTAAAATCAAAAATCACTTGGGGGCAAGTTGTGCGTAAACTGCATTAGCTGTTTGGGGGAAAATATAGTAAAGAAACTCGTGAAATGCACCCGGTAACTGGCGCTGATTATGTGTGGAATATAATGCAAAATAAAATTGGACCTGTATGAATAATGCTAGATTGGTGGCTGACATTGCAGTGGGGATTTGGAAGTGAGTGTTATTTGTAAATGCACTGGCTGTTCTGCAGTGATTGCCAATCGCTTAGTCTCAGTAGAATTCTTGTTGATTTGGGAAACATATTCCGATTCTGTATTGCATGCCGGTGCTGGAATGAACAGACGTGCTCTCATTTAATGTTTCCAATAACAAGTAAAAGCTGGAGACAAAATGCATTTCCGAAGCAAACCTGTTAGGGCATGGACAGTGGTATTGCAGTTTGATTGTCCCTTCTCCCTCCCTCCTTCCCCCTCTCTCACACTCTCTCTCTCTCTCTCTCTCTCTCTCTCTCTCTCTCACTCTCACACACACACACACACACACACACACACACACACACATACATACACACACACACACACACATACACATATATTTTAAAAATTACACAGATTCCATAATTTCAGAAATCCAGCACAATTGTTCAACTAAATACTCCAAATTGCACTTGCAGTAACTGAAATACAAATTCCACCACATTCGGCCAATATTGAACAAAGAATGAGAATTTTATTCAATATATTAGATATAAATTCAACATTTTTACATTCTTGCGATTATTTGATTTAAAGTGACGCTGGCTCTAACTCTAATTTCCAACATAATCCCGTTTTACACAGATTTCTCTCCTGTTCGAGGTTGACATAGTCTTGATTTTTTTTCTAAGTTTATATTTCTATTTTTATTCTCCATTTCAGCATGTTGATGACCAGGGTATTAACATCCCGGACCAAACCGTCATTAAGAAAGGCAAGTTCTCTTTCTTCTCGTCAAACATGTCTGTACAGGCGGATCACATCTTAGTCACGGGAAATCCTAGTTTGCTTTACTTTAGTTCATTGTGTGCTACATCTAACATCAAAAAGGGGATAAAGGCAATTAAACAACAGCAATGCATCCAAGATGGCTTTCAACACAGACTTTAGTGTTTTTTTTTGGAAGAGAACAGACACAAATATTCATTCTTTACATCTCAGGCTAAACGTTCGTGTGGATTTAAGAAATTCCTTACAGTTGTGCACCTTTAATGAGCAAAGGAATTAGAGAGCATATAAATCAAACCAAATGCCTGAACTTGCAGGAGCAATTATACTGTCGATTGGCGTTACATGCTTTTGAGGGTCTGGTTAGTCATGTGCATTTAGACGTGCATTTATTTCTATGGAGCTTTGGTTGGGAAATATGTATTATTTGCTTTGCAATCTTAAAGATGTGCCCACTTTCATTACTAAGCTGTTCATTTTCCAGTCGCTATAGGATGACCCCTTCCAAAGGAATATATATATATACATATATATATACATATATCCTAATTGGTAAAACAGTAGCATACGATTAAATGGTTTAAGTTTCATCTTTCTGCTTCTCAAGGTTTTGTCACGTCAAATTACATGTGCAAGGGATAAATCTTAAGAGATGCTCTTTCCACGTCGACATGATAATTGGCTCTTTTATTAGTAATCTCAAGAGTTCGTTTAACTCCTATTGTCTCTATTAGCCTCCCCAGAGCTATTAATGTCACAAGTGATCTATCCGGAACTAGGAGCCCGATGTCTTCAAAGATCCAGAGTAGATTTCCAATGGCATGAACAGAAACCCAAACTAAAACAATTGATTATAGGCCAAAAAGGGTATTTTGGGGATTTTCCTGGAGAAAAACCCGCAAATGGACATATTTATGGAGACAAAGCACGATCGCGATAGCTAAGCTACATTTTAGACAGTAATAAGAATGCAAACCTCTTCCTATTGTTACACAGAATATCTACACTCGATAATTAACAGACACAGATTTGGACATCCGTTGGGTTTTGTTGCAATGGTTGCGTGTTATTCTACACTGTAGATACGAGTTAAACGAATTGATCATTTCAACATCAAACTCGGTATTCCATGAAACAGAACGATTATTTGGCGGAATTTTGCCTCTCAGTTCCCAGACCCCGATTTAGTTTTAAAACATATGCTGTAATGAATTGATCAATCGAGGCTGGGGGTTGATGTGCTGATGTTCTGCTGTGTGAGCGTCCGTCGGCTTTGTTGGAAGGAGCTGTGCTCCTCTCCTGTGTTGTAACGCCGCTGGGTGCACGGAAAGATGCAGGAAGCAAAATAATCAACTTAGCATTGGAAGAGAACAAAATAATGTATACTGGCGCTTTCTATTATTGGAACATTTATTCCATTACAAAATAAATATACTTCAAAATTTGAGCAAATAACTCTAAATACAAATAAATGAATGAACCACAATAGAGAGCAAACCAAAGGGCGTTAAAGGGTAACGGAAATAGATTAGAATGTGTGTTTACACTTAGCTTCCAGTGCATTACATATACCTATTTGTTCTGTATTGAGACATAAAAGTAGTTTCTGTTGCATAATGGAAATTACTTCACATTGTATTTATTATATTGACCGACATAACGTTTCAGAATTGGTCTCGACAACATTATGTGCCGTTAACAACATCAAGTTGGAAATAGCCGTGCTCATAATATGCTAAATTCATGCTGCACTTTGCACAAACGGTTGGATTTCGTTTCATTTTCGTTAAAATATGCACACGTTATCATTCAGTGTGAAAGACGGTCTGCATTCGCTTGGAGAGAGTGCCTCTTTATGATGGCAACACGTTTCCCAATAATGTGACAAAGGGCTTCCTTTAATATCAATTACTTTAAAACATAATGCACATCAATCGAATTGTCCTGCACCCCCCCCCCCCCCCCCCCCCACCCATCCACCACCCATCCATTTACAAGAGTTGGGAGAACCTGTGATAGTGGGGACCACAAACACAGACACTGACCAAGTGACCCTTTATGTGAGATTATGAAAATGGCAGAGAGGCCGCTTTGCAGGGCTTCCCTATTGATCTGTCTGATGGTTCCCCTTTCAGGTCCAGTGTCCATCTCCAAGTCCAGCTCTGGGGCTGTCACCTCGATCTCACTCAACAAGGACGGGCTCTTCGGAGGGGTTGCCAACCCGAACGAGGTGTTCTGTTCAGTTCCGGGTCGCCTCTCCCTCCTCAGTTCAACATCAAAGTACAAGGTGACGGTGGCGGAAGTGCAGAGACGCCTGTCTCCGCCCGAGTGTCTCAACGCCTCGTTGCTGGGGGGAGTGCTCAGGAGGTGAGCTCTGGTGCCGCACTGGGTGCCTTCCAACTCAGCCTCGCTTCAACAGCACGCACAGCGGTGCCAGTCTCCTCTTCCAACACACTTAGCCACGACATCCTCCGTGCACCAAAAATATTGTAGTCATTTTCCCATTATTTATTTTCTGCCTTGCTAATTGTTTTAGTTTCACATGATCTTTAAACAGCAATTATCACGTTTTATGTCGAGTTGTTGACACTTGCACCGCAGTCTATTTATATTTTACTTGTGCTCTGGCACACACGGATTGTTTTCCTTTGGATCGAATAAATGCCTCTGCCAATAGATCCCATGCATTAAATACTGCAATAAATTAGGAGCAGTGTGCATTGTAATGGGCTAACTTCAGTGAATAAAATATTCATTCCACAATCTTGCATCAGTAAAACTTTCTTTAGTTGCTTTACTAGCAAAACACATGACACAGAATCACAAAGTCAAATGTTAAGTTACTTGAACCAGTGCTCTAGAAGTCCCGATATTAAAAGTGTGAATCGGAAATAGTTGATCACCTTTGCTCAAAGGCAGTCGTATCAGTTTGGAAATCATTGCCATGTAATCTGATGCGCCGTTTACCTCCGAAATAAAACATAAGCCATTTTCGAGTCACGATTTGAAATGTGAAGGTTTGTGTTACAGATTGCCTGGACACGTCTGACGTGCACTTTCTTCTTTTTAAATAGGGCGAAGTCTAAAAATGGAGGAAGGTCCTTAAGAGAAAAATTAGACAAAATTGGATTAAATCTACCAGCAGGTAGACGCAAAGCTGCTAACGTTACGCTGTTGACCTCACTTGTTGAGGGTAAGTATCTCTGGTCGCCTCCCCCTTATACAGTATATGGCTAACGATGCGGAGATCATGAACTGGGTGGTGGGTTATTCACAGAACTGTAAAAGAGCGGGAAATTATGTGTGTGTGTGTGTTTGGTGGGGGGTGGGGGGGTGGGGGGGGAGTAAGGGGAATCATGTGTCCTCATTTAACCCCCCGGACGTCCAACAATCCGAGCATTGTATTAACCCTTAAATCGAATTAGAGAAGTAAGGGGAAACTGTAGCTCCCGCTGTCTCCTTCAGCAACCAGCAGTGTGGCTGAGGGTTGCCAGTGTGTTTACAGTAGGTGATGGGTGAGGTTACAGAATTGGATCACTGGTGTTAGTAACAAAAAGTCTGGTGTGATGGGACGCCGATCAAGAACGCCGCATATTGGGGATTCACAATGGGTGTAAATCGCTGTGAGTGTTTGGGGTCGGAATTAATCCCTCTCCTTTGGCTGTTTCAACACTGGACATTCTTGAACTTCAGTGGGAATATCACATCCCGTCGTCACAACTCTCTTAATCTCTTGAATGACGATTTACGGGAGAGCGAAGTGAAGAATTAGTGGGTTGTCAACGTCAGAGCAAAACAGTTTAATATCGGCGAGGGTTAACGCACGTCATTTCTGCGGGATGCGCTGACTGCTGCTGGAGGCAGTTCGCGGCCAGCGGGCAATGGGCGACCCGAGCAGTGTTGAATAAATTGATTTATTAGATTAGAGAAAAAAAGCCCAGACCCTTTGATGTATTTGCATCTTTTGTCGCGGCTTTTTTTTTTGGTGTGTGTGTGTGGGGGGGGGGGGGGGGGGGGGGGGGTTGCAGGCAGACCTGTGAATGAAATATGCTGCTGTATGCTGTAATAATTGGGTGCATTGTGGATAGGATCTCTGCTGTCTGCTGCCATCAGAACTACACTGCACGTTGAGAAAGCCTTAGCAAGTCAGGACCTTCTGGAGAGAGAGAGAGAGGGAGGGAGAGAGAGAGAGAGAGAGAGAGAGAGATTCTTAAAGAAAGTCACGTTAATGTGATTATTGTCATGCATTGTTATTAGTCAGGAGTGGATTCACGCATAGCTGGCTTGCTGATGATCAATGTGTGACCAGTTGGGTTTCTGGGGCAGGCAGTTGGACCCTGTCCTGTTGTTATTGTTTATGATCTGTTCCATTTTATGGAAACGAGTTACTGGACTGTGCCTTTGAAGCACTAATTGGCGCATGCGTCCTTCCGGAGCTGGCTAATGGCAGGAAACCCTGCAGTAAAACCCAACTGGTTCAGGAAATTAAAACCAAAAGCTTTGAAATCAACCAAGAAAAAAAAAGAGAGGACAGGGTTTCAAAGAATGATCCATTCTTGTCGTCCGAGAGGATCACACAAATCTCGATTTGCAGTTTTGCAAATGCTTCGTTTTAGTTACGCAATACTTAAAAAGCAGCCCATGTGCTAATTCACACTCGGTGAAGGGGTTTGTTCATTTTAATAATGCGCAAAATAAGGAACATTCTCAGAATGTATATTCAAGGAACATTTATGTTACACGAAATGACTTTTCTGGCCGAAATAATGTCTCTTTAAGTAAGGAGGGGAGTTGTACATTACTGGCTAGTCGATATGATCTTCTGTATAGTTTAATACGTTTGGTCGACAATCGCTATATTCTTTACGATCGACAGAATTTATAAACACATTTAAATAGCTTAGCCTTTTATGCAGTACTGTCTGAGACCAGTCTGGATTTTGCGAACAATTCTGATCTAATGTTTCATTGTAATTTTTATGAGTCAACATGTAAAGGGTTGCAAACGGCCTTTGCTGTCCTGTATTACTACAAGATGTTTTGTTGTTTAGTTGCATTGGGTTTACCGAACGCAGGCTTAACTGCAAGAGGATGTTGTGCAGACGTGGTTTTGACTGGCATTGAATGCATGACAACAAAAGAGATATTGTCAATTTATTTGATATTCTACCCAGTTCAGTACTTAGCTCTTTGTAATGTCGTTAAATGACTCACTGAAGCTTCCGAGTTTTTTTAATGCATGCTTGAAATATTTGGTGTGTGACAAATGGTGATGCGCGATTTATAGCGTGGTACATTTTGAACTATTTATTTTATATTAGGTTGCTGATACTGAAAGAACCAGAATTGAAGGATATGGCTGTTAATTATCATGTAATGCAGTTCATTTTTGTTGTGCTACAGAGGTGGTGTGATATATATATTATTTTAAAAAGTAAAAACATGTTTATTGTCGTATCTCAGTCTTGACATAAAATTGTTTTGACCAAATTGCAATAATGTAGAAAAGTAGACATTTTATTGCGGGAATATAAAAGTGTTTTTTTTATGCAATTTAAATGTAATGTCCAATAAATTGTGCCAAATGTTTTGAGAAAAGTTGCTTGTGTTAAGTCTGTATCAATTTAAAATTGGATATTGTGGTAGTGGGACGAATTGTGTCTTTCAAATCAGCTGGCTTTCTGTTAAAAAAGAGAAATTAGGAAGGATGCATTACACTTGTCATACATTCATGGACTTTAAGTGTGTGTGTGTGTGTGCGTGTGAGAGAGAGAGAGAGAGAGAGAGAGAGAGAGAGAGTGTATAACACACTCAAACATTTATCTTGTTCAGGTGAAGCTGTGCATCTTGCTCGGGATTTTGGTTACGTTTGCGAAACAGAATTCCCAGCCAAAGCAGCAGCTGAGTATGTCAACCGGCAGCATTCTGATCCCAACGAACAAGTCACACGCAAAAACATGCTCCTCGCATCAAAGTGAGTCTCTGTTTTATGTCAAAAAGTAGACTTCAAATGAACGCTCTTGAAACCATCTTTCTCCGAAATTCCATTTTTTACAACACGCAATGTTGCATGTTTATAAGAATCTGGTTGTGTGACAGCAGATCATATGGATTGTATTCTATGCTTGTTCGCATATTCATAGAATTGGCAATTGAAGTTCTTAAAACTGCTTGCAAGATGTGTGATGGTAAGAGTTTAGCTGTGTGAAGGTAAAAACCCCAGGTTGATAATGTGGGATATTATTGATGTTATTCATAGCTTGTGTTATTACTATTCATGTTATCACATGGCTGTAATATAATCAATAGCAGTGCTGCCTCACTTACACGCAGCGCTCTGCTCTCACTGTCAGAGGGTAGAGGCAGCCGTCATTTTGTGAGGTCACACATCACAGGAAATTCTTTAACCCATAATGTTTTGCAAGCAGTTTAGTGAACGTTAGTTAGCAGTGGAGACAGTGCAACGCCTCGGATGAAATAGGCAGTGTGTAGCGTAAATAATCTACTGTCGGATGTTGAGGGAAAATTCCAGGGTTGTTTTCTAATCTTTAATTAGGAATTCCGATGTCACCGAAGGGCATTGTAGTGGATAAGCGTGGGGAGCTTGGTGGCGCAATTGAAAGATACACCCTGACAGAAATGCACAACTGCTCCAACGCAGGATGCCTAGTAATACATGTTTACACGTTTTATGGACTTTCCAAATACGATCGAATTTCATATGTAATGCACAAACACACGCCCCCCCCCCCCCCCCCCCCACCCCATACACACACACACACACACACACGCAACACCACAGTTATACCGACACACATAGATATATGTTGACAATATTTGCATTTCACATAGTTACACATGCTCAGGCACACGCATTGAGTTTCCACACACGTTGGCAGGCATGTCTGGGAAGTGGGTGAAGAGGGTTGTAACTATTGTTTAAGCCCTATTGCATTAAGTATTTAGGTGCCAGTTACTGGGCAGGACGTTTCGTTACAGTCCTTCTGTGTCCCACTGTCTCAATGTGTGCGCTATACGCTGAATTGTTAGTCCTTTCTTAATCTTGTTAAGGATACCAAAATCGCTGCCTGATCACAAAGACTGGCTCTTTTTAAATGTTAGCTCTACCTGCGTCGACATTGCTTAGTGAATAACCATAGTATCTATTGTAATGCACTCGCTTTCTAATATTCGCGAGTGGAACTGGTCCTGACATATATGCCCTATGTTGTTGAGGGAAACAAAATATTTTTGCCTTGTGTAAATGTTAATAATGCAAAGAAAAAACATAAGTCCAAGAGTTCTTGCCTTAGATTGATTGAATAAAGCAAAATATATCACATGATAGCACGTGGAACTTGAGAAAATAACATTTACCTACCAAGAATTCTGAATGAATATGTTTCAGTGAGATGGTTTAGATAGATTTCTTTTTCTATCTATACGCACTTCAGGACAATAACCTGTCACTCAGAACAGATCAGCGCTCTCTAAAGTTGTCCACCATGCTACAAAGTTGATATTGGGGGAGGGGGTGGGATGGGGGAGAGACATGCTTTCTTTTCCAAGGTAAACTATGTTCATGAATTATTGGAGAGGAACAAAATGTTTTTGAGCTCATCATATGTTAACCACTTGTTAACTGCACCTCTTGAGTCATGTTTACCAGAACGAGGGATGACTGAAAGAATCAGGAAGTCAACTTTATGCAAAAGAAAAACAAGTTTTTCTTGGAGATAGGCAGTTAAACTTCCCAACTGTTATCTTGATTTTCAGACAAATCTGCAAAGAATTTACAGACTTGCTGACTCAGGACAGATCGCCTTTGGGGAATTCTCGACCAGCGCCGATCTTGGAGCCTGGCATTCAGAGTTGCCTCACCCACTTCAGTCTCATCACACACGGCTTCGGAAGCCCCGCTCTTTGCGCTGCTATGACCGCCCTGCAGAACTATCTGACCGAAGCACTCAAAGCCATGGACAAAATGTACATGAACAATACTCCCAACAGCCACACGGGCGAAAACCCCAGTAAAAGCGGAGACAAGGACGAGAAGCACAGAAAGTAATGGAAATAGCAAAACTACAATTTCATAACAAAATAAAAAAAGTTGTCATATAAGTGTGACTGTTTTCCCTCAACCTGGAGTCTGGAGCCTTAGAGAGCAGAGCAGGCGATGAAGAATTTTGAACTGCTTTTGGCAAAACAAAAAGTTTCTGAACTTTTTACCAAGTTAAAGTTTCATCGGACTGCACCCTGGTTGACATATCCCGTTGTTTATCTCTGTTAGGATTGTAGTCACAGTCATTTAAAGAAGGTAACGAGGATACATTTTATCAGTATTGTGAATAAACTTGAACAGTTCCTCTGTCATAAACTTCGTTGTAGAAAAAATAATCCTCTAAGGTAACGGTCAACTTGAACATTTATTTCAACCCAGTTCACGGTTTAATAAGGGAAACAGTGTTCATGTATGTATATATTTATTTATGTGTAATTTAATGGGAATTGTAAATATGGTGCGTCTGTTTAAACCTTTATTTTATTTATCTGGTGATATCGTTTACCTCCTGTTAGTGGGTTTTAATCTTCATCAGTTAGTTCTTTACGTGATTTTATGGTACTTATTTAGAAAGGTATTGGGTATACTCTGGGAGACACATTTTAGCCCTCTGTAGCATGTTGTGATGACAAGCAGTTGAACAAATCCAAGAGAGGAGAAAAAAAAGAGTTTTATATGATAAGCATCGAATTTAGTTTATAACAAGACAGAACCCTGAATAAAAAAAACAATAATAATTAAAAAGAAGCATCTGCAATGTTTTGTGTTTTAAAATATCCCATGTGTTGTGACAAAGAAATTACCTGACACCATGTCTCTTTCCCTACCGAAGAGCCAGAGCAATAAACTGATATTGTCTATAGAACGGTTTAGTATTTTATTGTTGAACTGACAGCATTTGGGACGACCTGATATCTTGTATGTCCGCTGGCCAAATTGGAAGCAGTTTTTAGCTGTATTATATAGAGTTGTGTTGGCAATAGTTTACATGCCTGTCGATGTATCATAGCCCTTTGTTGCCCAGATAAATAAATATTTGATACGCTTTATGTCGATTTTTTTTATTCAGTGGCTGTCTTTGCCCAGGCGTATTTTTACTTGGCAGTATTTTCCTCCAGCCCTTCAGTATGGTTGCAGTAATTGGGTTTAACTCTCCCTTGACAATTGCTCCCCTGCAATAAGCAGCTGAACCCATTGTTTCCCTCAAGTATAATAAAAACTTGAACTTTCAAGTTACGAGTTGAGCAGGCTCGTTCTGGTGGGTTATTGAGCCATAATCAAAATAAATGATAAAACAGGGAGAAAAAAAGGAATGCATTGTTAAGGTCCTCAGTATCCTGAAATAATGTACCTAATGATGTGACAAGTCACTAAACAAACCTCGCAGATTTTCATGATACTGTGGTTACCAAATGTCGTGTTTTGTTAACTCTTTAACAGCTCTGCTTCCTCATTAGTATTTTTTGTTGCAAAATAACAAGAAATGTTAAACACATTAATTATGTTCAAGTGGTTTCCGTGGGAGGCCAGCAAACGTGCTCAGAAATATTATGTACAGGGGTTTGCAACATATTGTACAAGATTTTTTTGTTTGGTGCTTTCAATAGATTTAAAACAGTAAGATAGGAAGCGACATTACCGTTTTTATATTACATTCCAGCGGCTCTATGATTCGTGAATACAGTAATATACACACCATGCACACAATAATGCTTCCAGCTCCAACGTGGAATAAGCTTTTAAGATGGGGGGGGTTCTTCTTTTAACAACAGGATCATTTGGGCGGTATTAACTGAAACATTTAATTATTCTTTGTCAAGTGAAACTTGACTGTAGATTACATATCTGAAAATTCTGAGCCGGGTAAACCAGTCTGTGTATGTTTTTGACATGAATGAAATGCACAGTGCTAGCAGGTGAGGTGAAGCGTTGTCTATCAGGGCTGTTTTTCTTGGCTAGATCTCAGAGTGTGTGTGGGATACTGTACTTACCTCGGGCACAATGGCATTCATAAACAGCATTACAAGTCTGATATTTATACAGGGAATAGACACAACCCCATTTTGGAACATCAAAGCACATTTATTGAATACCAAATGCGGTGTCAGACTGGAGATGTAAAACCTTGGAAGATATATTAATTTCAAATAGCGTTCAGTTGATAAAAAAATGCGTTTAAGCATTTGTGCGAATGTATAGCTTAACAAACTGTGACATTTTTACGTTGTCCTTGAGTTGATTGTATTGCTTGTAGCGTTTTGAAGCAGCTGTAATATTTTCAGGAACTTCATTTTAGTATTTCAAAATGTGATAAAGTTTCTAAAAGTTCAAAGGAAATGCTTATGAGGGGAGATGGTGTCACTTTGAAAATGTCCTTATCTTGTTGATTTGACTTTTGGTCCTGGTTGTGCCCTAATCGTACGAAATCTATGTTAATGGACAACCATTTCTAACAATTTCCGATTGTGAACAATTTAGCCTGTCTGTAAGTGACATTGTTTCATCTGTCTTTTAAAATAATATTGTTAAATCCCAATTAACCTTTTTTAATGATGTTCTCATCTGGTATTATATAGTACTGCTTCGTATGGAGAGTAATGAACCAAGTTTGTAAACCAACGAATCTCGTAGAATTAAATAGCAAGAATCATCCAGTTATTTTGACAATCCACAAGTAAGAGGGTTCAAAGCAGAGGATTGTCACTAACAAGAACGGTGGTTTGTTTTGCAGCTACTGTGCTTTTGGTGGGATGAGTGGTCTCTCTTGTATAAATTTGTGCTAGGCTTCATAACTGTGTGAAAACGTGTTGGCCCACCGTTGTCTTTTAGCACTGCGTGTGTTTATGGGGAGGGTTAGGGTTAATTAGCGCCATTATCAATCATTAATGCTTGCCTAACGTGTCTAAGGTATAATCAAGTTAGAGGACTGGAGTCAACATCTGCTTAGTTCCAATTAAATATTTTATGCTAAATCATTTATTATTGGAAAAGCTAGCTACGCTTCCCCACAGAGTATGGTTGTCTTTGTACTCGTATCAAAATAAAGGGTGCACAGTTGGTAAAAAAAAAGAATGCCCATTGCAAAAAAAAATAGCAGTTGCAAAGAATTATAATTGTTTCACTTTTTGGTTCTGTTATTTTTTAAACAAAAGGCCACTGTTGAAACAGTGAGTGCTGGGGATAACATGGGTGCATTGCTTTGGAGAAAATAGTGTGCGGGCAGTTTTCGGAAGCTACATTACTAACAGGAATACAGTTATTAACCTGAGGGTATTCAGCAACCACTGTGCAATAATTCAGCTCGCTCGCATTTTCAGGGTCGGTAGCCTGTTCAAGCCAGTATGTCCCATGATGTCACCAGCCCTTACCCCGTTTAACCAAAAGTGCACCAAAGCGGAGAGAACAATTCAAGAGATATTGCAGTAAGATATTAAAGTGTACCAATGTAGCTTCGATTTTTAACAACTCCCTTTAACAAGAGTTAAAGTGAAAGTCAGGGCAAATAAAGGAATCGATTGTACAGCAGTAAGTGGAGCATTTTGCATGTGTGCAGTTCAGCTGACTGGAGAGAACGACTGACCTTTCCCAAAACTCGTGGCATCTGTAAAAAAATAATCTGGAGTTGTTGGGCTCAGGACACATCTCTATAGCCCAAGAGACGTAGCGGTGTGGTTTCTTATCAGCCAAACATCATCGTGTCCTTGTGTTTAATCAATTCTTTTTATATTCTGAGACTGTAGGAATCAGCACTTAAGCCATTATATAGCACACAGTAAAACAAATGGTATGGATGCGTTTGGATAATGAAATAGATAGCGTCTTTGGCAAGAGGCGGATGCCATCCAGTGTAGGGTTACCAACCAATTAAACCGGGTGACGCTGTAGTGAGATAATTAGCATTTCGCTTCGGAACATTTCTCCCCTTCACTTTGCATTTCAAAGATGCCTTTGTTTTTTTTAGATTGGGCTAGTGATTTTAATTGGCACTGGGCTGATGTGTTCCAACCTAAAGTTCTCGGTATTCGTTTGCAATCCCCCTCCCCCGCCCACACTATCACGCACCTGCCTGAGCGAGTGCCAGCACTGCAGAATAAGGAGAGGAATTGGATGGTCAGAAGTTGGTCTGGTTTAAGATGCAAAATAAAACGCGCGTTAAATAATTCTTGCAAGAGTGCTTCGTCTCGGGTTTGCAATGTGTAACTTGTTTTTCTTTATTTGTAGGTCATTGCTGTGGATACAGGATAGGTTCAATTGCCCTTTCTTGGCAGGTAGATTTGTATTTATAACTCTAATATTCACCGCTTCTAACGTTTCTCGAAGCTCTGTGGTGCAGTGGCACATTGATTTGGTTTCGGATGATCCCCGGGATATGGTTATGATTTCAAGTTTCATTTCAGATTGCTTTAGATTGATTACACCAGTAAGCCAGGATCATTTGTTTAGCAAAGTGTCGTACCACACCACAGCACGGCCACACGTGCGCCCCTTTCCCCCTCTCTGTCCTCCTTGAAAGGCTTTTCTTACATTGTAAGATGGGTCGCTTGCTAACTATTAAGCGCAATTTATCACGTTGATCTACATATATATATATATTAAATAACAAGTAGCTTATCGCCCTGATTGATTCTACAATGACTTTAATTTTAAAGAAAAAAAAGTTTGTCAGAGGATGAATATATCAAAATAGCTGACCTGCATTTCTGTCTGTTTGGACTCCCAAGTTGCAGACTGTTAAGCATTGCCCCAAACACCTTGAACAACCCGCTTCATTTGTTTTGAAGCAAAAAAAAACACAAGCCAAGCAATTTTATACAATATGTGGATCTCCCCCCCAACCCACCCCAACGACCTCCTCCAATGGTACAATTATTGAATGTCGGCTGTTTTGCACAAGGCAACTTTAAACGTCAGTAACAAGTGAAGCATATAAAGAGGTGTGTGTGTGTGTGTGTGGGTGGAGGTGAGCAGAGGATCACACCCTTAATAAATATGTTGATCGCGTCAGCAAAGCTCTGCACACGATCCCGCAAACCAAAGCTGCTGCTCTGTGTGCCTGGACTAACATGATTGTGTTGTATAAATAGCAGGCACTGACTCGGTGGATCTTTTCTGACACCTTGGCGAACACTTCACCCAAACTCCTCTCGGCGTATCTTCGGGTTGCCATAATCCAGCAAAACACTATTTCCGCGATTTATCTGAAATCGCTTGAAAACTGTCACCTCCGATGCAATTTCAAAACATATTACTTTTCCAAAACAAGTAGGAAATGCTGTGTAACAGCGTGTGTGCGTGTGTGTGTGTGTGTGTGTGTGAGTTTAGAAGTGTGATGTTCCTTAATAATGATTACAGAAAGGCTGCGACTCTTTGGAAAGCTAAAATAATTAAGGTGGACACGTATTAACATTGAAGCATGCAATGATCTCTTTGAGTTTGGGACTACACCTAAGATTATGTATCTCTTTGTTGTACATTCGCTTTATTGTGCATACTACTGAATAAGGAGCTTCTGTATTTTGTTACAAGCAAACGTAGCGCAGGGTTTACAAGTGAGTACAGGTATCGAGAATGTGCTGTGTTCAGGTACCCGTTTTAATGGAGCATTGCTGCTGGTGTGAATTTATGCGCTTTAATGGATCTGTTAAGGCATTCGCTTAACACTGCAACGTTAGTCTGTTGCAAGTCCTCGTTAGAAGGTTCTGAAATGTGAGCGAAACAATTGCCATTTAAATCGGAAATGTCACGTTTTCTAATGACAGTGAGGGATAGCACATCTGGTTACTCTTGTACTCAACCTGTACCTCACGAACTTCCCGAGTCGTAATGTATACGCGATCCCTGGACAGTGCAGGGTGTCTGACCATGTGTATTTTGGGATTGTGTTCTTACTGTCCGCTCCTCAGCTCCAGTTATCTGCAGTGTGGAACAGGTGCATCCCATGGGCTCCACCATCTTATCTTGAGGCTGCAATTTCAATTCCATTCCCCACAAATAACCAGATATGCTGTACTTCACTGTGCTCCCGTTTTAAAGCTGCAATGTTGTATGT